AGTTATTCTTAATTAATGCTCGTCATCGGAGCCACCGGGTCGGATTCTGGTGAAATCAGATGAAATCATGCAGGTTCACCAGAAACTCCTCCAGCAGAGACCGGTCCACCGTGGACAGACCCAGATCCTCCAGCAACGTTCATTAGAGACAGTGGCCGACAGCTCTGTAACGCTTTAATGTGATTCAACTTAGCGAGCTGTATTACAAGATCGCTGTCTATTCACACAGAAGTATAACAATAGTACACATATTATAGTATTCGGTGCATGGTATGTGATTTTGGATCCAGGTTGTGTGAAATTATTGGTCTTAGCTTCCCACGCTAACTTTATGCTAACTGACGGTTAACAACCACAAAATAAAAGAGATCTATTAATATATTAAAATCCAGGCTGTGCTTTAATGCTGCAATTAGCTCCATCGTAGAGAATTTAACTCAACCCTGCAGTGACTTATGGAGGTAAAAGTTTCTTATAAGCTGTATTTTACAGAGTGAATTGATAAAATGCATCACATTTTAAGTAGATTTCATCGCAGCATTTCTTTCCTCTCAGACGGGCTCATGGCCAGAAGCCCTGAAACTCTTACTATTTTCCGGTCTCTCTCTCTCTCTCTCTCTCTCTCTCTCTCTCTCTCTCTCCCCCCCAAAACTTCAGCTCTCTGTTACTTCGTCTCTGGCCCGTCTGTCTGTCCTCCCAGAGAGGCACCCGGGGCCAGGCCTAGGGAGCCATAAAGGGCTGGTTTGTGTTTGGTTAGTGGTGCAGAGCGCCATGTGAAAAGCTTAATTTCGAAAGGTCCAGGGGGATTAAACCATGCAGGAGGCAGAAAAGGACGGAGTTGTGTGTGTGTGTGTGTGTGTGTGTGTGAATCATGAATGTGTGTGTCTGGTGAGGCAGGCAGGCCGAGGTCCTCGGCATATGATTTCAATTAAGGTCCTGCACTATTTTCTCCTCCCCCTCCCTGTTAACTGAGCCCTTATTAGGACTAGACACTACAGGTGAATAGGGTAAAAAAATAATCTAATAGATATCAACATGAAACTTCCCCAGTTCATTACTTACATTAAGACAATTATTCTTTGTATTTCAAGTTTACTGAAATGGTGCAAATGAGGCATTATCTAATGGTAACGTTTGGTGAATTTAAGAGAAATTTACAGACACAAATAGACAAAGTAGTGAAATAAACATCTAAATGTGTATTTTGGATGTTTTCTTTCCACTAGTTTGAAAGAAGACGTGTTATTGAAGCAAAAGCGCCTAAAATTGCAAAATTGATCAGTGCATGAAAACAACGTTGTTGACTTAATCAGGGTAACTTTAAGTCAGGTTGATGAAAAGATGACCTTGGTGCCTCTTGGCTGAATGCTCCTCAGTTAAACATAATGACGTTTTTTAGTTTACACGGAGGTAAATGCACATGCGCAACAGCCGACTTTCTTCCTTTTTCCCGGCTTCCTTTGTGTCTTTCTTTGTTCTTTGGCTTCCTGTCATCCCGAACTATTAGCCACGCTTGGTCAACATTGTAAAACAGGTCAGTGAAATCAGATGGCAGCCTGTATTTATGTGCATGTATAGAAGTAGACAACGCTGCTTCTGATAAATAGTTACTGCGCTTGGATCTCCTTCTCCTTTCTCCGCAGCCACGCTCAAGAGAGAGACATTAGGAAATAGTTGATCACACAGATGGACTTTTTCAACAGCCTTGTTATGTTGAGTTTCTGTCGGAGATAAAGAAGTGAAGCTGCTCATATTAACTTTAAACTGTTTTGACTACAAATAAAGGATGATAAAGCTGGTAACGCTGGTAAAGTAAGATCACAAAATGATGGACCGCAGAAGCGCCCTAGTTCAGGCAAAGAATAAGGTCAACAGGATGTTGTGTGCTGCTAAGATCGTTGAGCCCAGATGTGATTCATTTTGAGATTTGGGGCTACGTAAACAAAACTGACTTGATTTCTTCTTCAGGACAGTTTCCCCTCCGGTCAACAAAGGACGGGAATGTTTTTTTTATCTTGTCCGTATATCAACGTCAGCGTGCGATTACCTGTCCTCCTCTACATATTATGTTTGTACAGATTAGGAGTCATAAATGAAATGTCGTCACTGTCATGCCACTGCAGGAGCATGAAACACAATATACTCAGGGATTTTCCTCCACTCGACTCCTTTCTTCTGTCAACACAGACATGAATAAGCTCGCCCGACAGTCCTACAGTTATTGTACTGATTGATATCTGCAGGTTTAATATATATATGAGAAATGAATAATGGATTCTCAATACTTAGAACACATGTCGGGACAGAGATTTGTTCTGAAGAACTTCCCCCTTCCACCTCTGGGTTTGTTCTCAGGAAACGAAGGAGATGAATCTAGCTGTGAAATAAAGATTTCTCAAGTTCAAAAGGCCACTTTTTCAAATCCACCCATCTTTTCCTGTTTAAACGCATGCAGAAATGTTCTTTTAAAGGAAGGGTGGAGATGTTTGGGTAGTAAGGTGGTACAGAAAGTAGGGAGATAAGTCCAGCACCAGGGCCACATCTTCAGTTGACCTTCAGTGTGGATAGAAGGAGGGTAAAGTTATCAGCTATATATCAAGATGTATTTCCTCTGTAGGATGCATTGCTAGATCAGGACATGCATCAGAAATATCAGTGAGACCTGGTGCAAATGTATGTGAGGGAATCAGTGATTTTATCACGTCGTTAGTCCGTCTACGTCCACAAAACACAGAGGTTTCTGGAACCTTTGATTAAGATCACATGAGGTCCACCATCTGTGCAAATAGGGCTAAAGATATCGAGAAGGATCTGGTTTCAGGCTTCAGAGTTTCTGGTTTACTCTGAGACAGAGCCACATAGAGCTGGGTGTTTCTGAGGGTTTGGCTCTGGAAGAGAAGCTACATGAACTTTAACCACGAGCGGCTATCTGCTGGTGTGTTTTTGCTGTGAAGGTTTTTAGATTCATCTATCTTTTTCGGGGAAGAGTGGGAAGATGTGGTTTTAAATTCCTCCAAAGTCACCCCGTCTTAACTACAGGAGGCGGGACAATGACAGGGTCAGGTTGTGGGCTCGTTGGTGTAGAGGAGGACTGAAAAGTGCTGATTACAGAAGACCTGTGTGTTTGTGTGTGTCAGGACATGTTTGTGTGTGTGTGTGTGGTCCATGCGAGGGCCGAGGACACGATGACATGCAGCAGACCCATCTGTTGAAGTGACAGGGGTCCTGTCTGGAGAAGCTGTGAACCTCCACCTCCTGCGGTTAAGGCACTTTAAGCTAGCCCAAAACACACACAGTCACACACATGCACCTCACACTCATTCCAGTGGCTCAACAGTCCAACTGTTTCCCATCCTGCTGCATTGCTTAACTTGTAAACAAGTCACTTTGTTTCAGCTAAAAATGTTTATAGCCTTGTAGTTATGATAATGCGCAGCCCTGTTCAGTCTATCAGAACGGCCGGCTATCTGGGAAAATTCAAAACACTATGAGAGGTGGTGACATCACTGCAAGCCGTGCAATAAAACTTTATCTGTGAAGTTCAGCCTCTGAGACGGACGAGCCGGGCTGGCAGTGAGCGTTATCACTGAAGTGGGCTGATAGCTGTGGTAAACACCGAGAGGTTCAGTGATGTCACTGTGGAGCTAATGCATGAAAAGGGCGTTGACCTCGGCAGAAAGCAGGTCGAGTCTGAAGAGTGAAGCTGATGCAGAAGTGCCTTAAACCTGCATTCTCTCTACTGACCATCAGGGGGCGACTCCTCTGGTTGTATAGAAGTCTATGAGAAAATGACTCTACTTCTCTCTTGATTTATTACCTCAGTAAACATTGTAAACATGAGTTTATGGTCTCAATCTCTAGTTTCAAGTCTTCTTCAATACAGCATGATGTTCCTTTAGTAAATTATGGTCCATTTAGAGTCAAACAGACCATAAAGCAGGGGATGCTTTAGGGGCTATCTAAAAATGTCTTATTCAGCGTTCGGTTGTACTTAGCTCCACCCTCTACTGTCGCTCCTGGTTGCAAAAAACAAGATGGTGAAGGCTAAAAACCATACAACCACAGCCATAAACCATGATGACGACAGCATGGGTACGGCCAAAAAACAAAAACCAAGACGGCAACGGCCAGAAACCAAGATGGAGGCGGCTCAAAACCATGGTGATAAAAGCTACAAACCAAGATAGCGACGGCCAAAAACCATGACGGTTAAGGCCAAAAACCAAGATGGTGACGGACAAAAACAGCTTCAAAACAGCCGTCCACAAACCAATGGGGGACGTCGCAGTGACAACGTCCACTTCTTCTATACAGTCTATGGCATTGAGAGACACTGAGTGTCCAGTGGTGTAAGGTGCCTGTGCATCTGTCCTGCATTAATCCAGCAGATTCTTCCAAACAGCTCCAGCTGAACATCTGTGTGGCAAGAATGTAGAAAGTCTGCTCCAGCACGTCAAAATAATAATAATAATTCAATCTTTCACGGTATCTCGGCTCTGTCAGCTTCTATAAACTCTTCAATCCATAAAGGAAGCAGCCAGGGAAAAAACTTTTCTCAATATTTACACCACACAAGTTAATTTGTTTTGACAGAAACATCTGCAGGACATCTAACGCCAGCTCCTTCTTAACAAGCCTTGCTGTTAAAGAGGGAAACTTCAGAAATTATGTGGAAAAAGCTTTTTCTCTCTCAATCCTCTCAGCTGCAAAGCCTCATTTAGGAACAACCATTGTTTTCGCCTTTGAAGAATTGTGGTTTTCTACTCGGGGCTCCTCTGGGATTGTTTCTCTTTTCACTCTCATTTCCTGAACCAAAACATAATGGCTTATTCTGTAATGGGCCCATTACCCTTTTTTCTTCCTAGCATTAGTAATTATTTATCTGATGCAACATGCTCTTCTTTTACCTTTGTGTCCATGTTTGTCTGGTTTTAAAGGCTGTCCATACTATTAACAGGTGATATCTTGTGATCATTTATTTTTTTCTTCTTTCTTTGTAGAATTTCCGTCCCATCACCAGCGGATATGGCGGTTCCAGTCGCAAACCTTCGTATACCCCTGAACCCCAGTCCCCCCAGGGTCTCCAGTACCAGCAGACACCCAAGTCCCCCCAGGGTCTCCAGTACCCGCAAACACCCCAGTCCCCCCAGGGTCTCCAGTACCAGCAGACACCCCAGTCCCCCCAGGGTCTCCAGTACCCACAGACACCCCAGTCGCCCCAGGGTCTCCAGTACCCGCAGACACCCCAGTCGCCCCAGGGTCTCCAGTACCAGCAGACACCCCAGTCCCCCCAGGGTCTCCAGTACCAGCAGACACCCCAGCCCACTCACCTGAATAACGGACACTCCAGACCCAACAACGGCCACAGCTACGGTTACGGGAACGGCAACGGGCACGCTCAGTACAACAACCCAGCAGGACTTTATCACAACGGCAGCAATGGAGACCGATCTCTGCCGAGCAAGATGGGAGGCCTCAGCCTCAGCGCCACTCATAGGTGAGGTGATCAAAGGAAGCACAGAGAGAATGAAATGTAAACAAATGGGTCCAAAGTCACGCCTCCATTTAATGTTTTGACCAGGCGAATACCCCGGTTCTGAAGAGTGAATCCAATGCAGGAAGGGTCTTGTACTTGCGCTCTCTCTACCTGGCCAGGTCTACCTTCTGGTCGCCATCCAAATATGGTCACTTCCGTTCATCGGTTGCAAAAAAGCCAAGATGGCGGCGGCGGTGGTAATTCAAGATGGCGGCGGCGGTAATTCAAGATGGCGGCGGCCGTAATTCAAGATGGCGGTTGCCAAATCGCCAAAACTTAGGCTTAAAAACGTCAGTCCAGAAACCAATAGGTAACGTCACGATGACTATGTGCATTTCTTATATACAGTCTATTTTTTTGACAAAATTAGTAGATTATTCTATTTGATCTGTAGGGCTCGTAATAGAAAATCTGGAAATGTACATGTTTCTTCACCTTGTATCACACATATAATTATGCTGTCTTATTCTTTTCATACAATTATTCTAACAATACGAACATTCAGGCTCTCTCATGTGGCTCAAAGATGTTCTGCAAATAAATAAATAAAAGCTCATGGAAGAAATACAAAATTTATCGTGACGAGCCAAATAAAATCTCCTGTGGCCTGGTCTTTGGGAATGACTGGTCTAACAGACACAGAACAAGACACTTTGGACGATTCGTTGTGGTGCTTCCCCTCGAGTGGGCAATAAATGTGTGTGTTAAGTCTCCTTGTGAAGATTCCCAGAGTTCCCCAGGACCGGACTGGTAATCCGGACGAGGCCCACACGCATGCAAAGACACTTTCTCCATACTCTACTGTCTCTTTCTTTATGTCTCTCACTCAGTTGTATTTTCACCAGCTCAGACTTTCTCTCTCACAAACACACACACACAATGCAGTGAAGCGCTTCCTTCAGACTCCTGGAAGGGAGTCCAGAGGAAAACGTGCTGTTTAAGCGTGCCAGTATTTGAACACGTCTGTCAGCAGTCCTGCTCATCTCCCAGAGGTTTCAGTGTATCGAGTGAACGGGATCCGTCCCGTTAGCTTTGGGAAAACTTGATGGATGAGTGAGCGGGAAGATTCCACAGCGCAGAGCTGTTGTGATTTAAGACTTCATGCCTGTGGACTCACATGTTAACGTGCATCCGTCTCTTCCATCTCAGTTTTCCTTTCTTTCTTTGGTGGTCTGGCATCTGTCATCTGTTCTTTTTTTATCTTTTTGTTTAGGTTACTTCAGCTGCTCTAATTCCTCTCTAGCTCAAACATCACATCAGGACACCACCTGATAAAAGTCAACCAATACAGAGGCCAAATTTGATGCCAGAAATAAGACAAAACCAAACTACCCCAATTACTTGTAGTCAGAACCTTAGCGCCTTTGTTGTCTTTACTTTATGACTAAAATAAATTGTTGAGGGTTAAACTTATTGATCTGAACTTCATTCAGAAAACAAGCATTTTAAAAGTTGTTTGCTTCTCGAATTGCTAACAAAGCATGAATCCAGACTTTTCCAAATCTTCTTTATTTTGTAGTTATTTTGGCATCCCTTTTTATCTGTTTTATTTTGGGTTTTTACAACTGTAGTAAACTAGTGGACATGTGACTTGCTAGATCCAGTGAATATGGATCGGTGAGATTCACCGAGCACCGCCGGATGATGTTCTGTCATGTACCCAAAGCAGCAATAGAGGTTATTTCGGCCATGATTGATAAAACTGAAAACAAGCAGATAAACTAATAATGACCACTAAAAGATAATATTTGCAAGATAGTCTTAAAGTCCATGGGCTCTGGACCCAGAGCCAGAATGCTAAACTGTCTAATTCTCATTAATTAGATTGCAGTACAATAATACTGTATCTTCCCTCCCTTGTCTTTCTCAGCCCAGAGTCTCCCACACAGTCCCCTGGGGGTCGTAATGGATTCGACCCACATTCAGACGTCTACAAGATGCTGCAGGACTACGAGGTGCCCGTCTCTGCACCCAAACAGTCCGGCTCCTTCAAATACCTCCAGGGAATCCTTGAGGCGGAGGATGGAGGTACGGATATCTGTGTGGAGGCTTACATGTGTGTAATGATAGAGGTTTGAGAAAGATCGATTAATCGTTTCATCTATAAAATGTCAGAAAATATCACAAGATCCTTAACACAATTTCCAAAACCCAAAGCTGAAAATACAAATGACTCTATTGGCCGAACTACTGTACATAACACAAAAATATTATCTTGAAAGAAGACTTGAAAACTTAAAATAAATTTTAATTGGCTCAAAAGATGATGCATCATGTGCAAAAAACAAATCTTTTTTTTTAAAAAGAGGCCAAATTAAACTGGAAAAAACGATCGCTGGCACATCACCGACCAAATCATGTCTTTTGAGGATGTTGTATTTCTGTTATTCTGTAATAATATAAAGCCAGCTATTGTGACTTTGGTAGACTCAGCTGACAGCGTTTCAGTACTTGAGAATTGTGAGACTCAAAGTCTTGGTCTTGACTTGGTCTCAACCCCTCAAAGACTTGGTCTTGACTTGGTCTCAACCTGCCTTGGTCTTGGTCTTGACTGGGTCTCAACCCCTCAAAGACTTGGTCTTGACTTGGTCTCAACCTGCCTTGGTCTTGGTCTTGACTGGGTCTCAACCCCTCAAAGTCTTGGTCTTGACTTAGTCTCAAGCCCTCAAAGTCTTGGTCTTATCTCAGTCACAACCCTTCAAAGTCTTGGTCTTGTCTGTTTGGATACACGCTGGTTTGGGTCATGACTAGGTTTTGGTTTAGGTGGTCTTGACTACAACACTCTACGGTCAACAGACTATAAAAGTTGAAATGACGAACACTGTTGAGCAGATTAAATTAAACTGAGTACGCCTGTGTGCGTCAAAGCAATTCTCTCAAACTATTTTCTTAACTCAAGTTCTTTTTATATACACATACGGTGGAAGTTTAGTTAAGAGTAAATATTTCCTCCTATGATTCCTGCCAGAGGAGCATCTTGCTCAGGGAGCTCCTCTCTCACTGTTTTTCCTCTGCTCAGTCTTACTGGCATAGTTTTCCTTTTATAGAAAGACACAGATGGCGAGGTTAAGGGACAGAGAGAGAGGAAGAGCGAGAGGGAACAAAAGAAAAGAAGAGACGGAGAAAGATTAAGCGCTCTAAATAGCTCACACACGGATGAACATGGGGGGGAAGTTTTGGTTTGGCAATTTACTGCAAAAACAACTTCACAAAAGGACAATAAAGTAAGAAATATGGTTTTCCTGTCTGCCTTCTGACCGCTCAGCATTCCAGCTTTTGAGGGGGAGTCATGTGATGCTGACAGCAGCTAATCCTCTGAACTAAACACTCCGTCCAGGTTCCATGTTTACCACGAAGCAGAGCTAAAGTTGGGAAAGTCGTTGTTATAAGCCAAGTGTTGGTATGTGATAGCGGAAATAGCCTGGACCTCAAAGAAGTGGGTTTATAACCTGTTAGCACAGATTGTTTATTATCAATGTTTCTCTTAACCTCAGCAACACTGAGGCGTCTGAATCCTTCTTACTGTTAGTGGAGTTTTACCAGCTGTGAACTTATGAAGCTGCAGGATGCTCAGTAACCTTTTCCATAATGAATATAGTCATCCATGGATACTCTTAATTCTCTTAAATTAGAGAATCTCCTTCCAAAGATTTGCATTCAAGGATCATTTCATTTCATTACAAAACATAATCAGGAGTGCATTCCTGTAGTGCAGTTTTTGAACTTGCATTAGGAGGAATGTAAACAGCAGCAAAAAAACAAGAGGGCTTGGTAGTAGAGTAGCCTTAGTTCCTAGCTGGGTTAGCTTAGCTTCCATCTTAGGTTAGCTTAGCTTCCATCTTGGCTCTCCTCCCTCTCCTCCTGGGGTCGGTCGACTCCACTTTCGGTGGACGGTGATTGTCTTAATGTCCGCCGCACTTTATCCAATCTCCACACTTCCTTCTCTGATGTTGATGAGTGTATCTCAGTCATAGGCAGTAGACAATCCACTATAACAAATCAAAACAACAACAAAAACGACCCCTTATTGGCGAATATCGCTTATCGACGATCGGCAGTTGGTATCGGAGGCAAAGAAACGTGATCGGAGCGACTCTAAGAGTTTAATTTGCTCCGTTTCTTGTGCTGATCCGATCGGTGACTATATGATACGAACGATACGTTTTGTGATCGATCCCTCACTTTTTCAAATGTTATTTTCAGAAGAAAAAAAAGTTTTATATTTGGGCCAATATGGTATTTTGAAAAAGCCAAACCCACTCCTGTGAAGCCCAGAATAATAGCCCCAATAATGTATCACATCTTTGATATCAGCTTTATAACCCAGACTTAACTTTTTGTTCATCAATCAACTGTAAATAGATACTGGAATGATATATTATTATTGTTGGTCAAATTATAAATTATAGCCAAAACATATATATGTTAAAGCCATCCAGATGGAAAAGCCTCAATTTCTCATATTTCAGAATAAATCAATCACTGGGTCTCTCAGAGTAAAAACTTCCCGCTCGGCTCTCACATCTCTGGGTCTCTACCCTTTGATGTTTGAGCCGACAGGATAATCCACAAGGAACAACGGCGACTGCTCCTGCAGCGAGGCCTGGAGCCCAGCCAGAACACACTGTCTCCTTAATTTAGGTCTTACCATCACTCTCAAAGCCACGAGAGCTTTAAGAAGGAGAAAGACTCTAGTGACGGACAAAGAGGGCTGGAGGGAGAGAGACACTGCTGATGGATTAAAGAGATTTAAAGAGGACCCTCTTTTTCGTCTGCTGTCTGTGGTCTTTCAGCTTGAAGGTTGACTGACGGGCTAAGCCCCGGATGAAACAAGGGGACACCTCAGGTTTACATTGGGATCATTTTAAAAGAAAATCTCTCCGTTGATGTTTGGTGGCGTCATTTCATCTGTGCGAGTGTGAAATCCTCCCACAAATGTTGATAAGTCTGTCACTTGGTTATTGTGAAACAAGTCAAATTTACAATCGAGCACTCAGGTTAAATTCAAACCATCCTGCTGTTGAATGCATACCTTGCTGTCAGGCTTTTAAATCACAGTAGTTGGTCCCCTTTTGAAGGTGAAAGCCCCTGCAGAGGCCATGTTGACTTTCAGGGGCTTTTAAAGTTAAAGCAAACAAGAGTGTCAGTTTACCCAGAATTCCTCAGACCCTGCCATGATTTGGAAAGCAGTGTGAATGAAAGAGGGGTGGAGTGAAAGTACAATACTGATGTTAAGTTTGGGTGTTTGAAGCAATATTACCTGAGGTTGATAGAAGACAGAAAGTTGTACCAATGTGAGGGAGATCTTTACCACAACATGTCACGGTATTACACTAAGCCTTTACAGACTTAACTGTCTCTGTATGTTTAAAATAAATGCACATAAATGTAAATAACTTACTGTTAAATGTGAAGATTTGGGATTGCTCTGTTGCTGAAGAGATCTTTTATCATTTCCACCTTCATGAATGAGGTGAATTTAAGGGGAGGACGGAGAGGAGCCGGCATGGCGGAGGAGTGTTTCTCCAAAAGTTGGAAAAAGAAATAAACAAAATTCCAGTGACCTTTTTTAGTGAAACCTCATCCATTCCTTGAACTCCAGGGTTATTTATTTAAAAGAAAATCCTGTGAAATGTCTTATTTTGTCCTGTTCCTTACATCATGTATTTCCAGAAAAGTGTTTTGAGCCATGAAATACATTTATTTTAAAGTTTAGTAAGACATCATTGATGTACAGTCATAACATTTAGTTTATAGCTTCAAACACATGTTTAATTGTGCAGTATTGTGTCCAAATTGCACAGAATTGTACAAAGCCCTCCGTGGGGTTCCCAACAAAACACCCACCAAGTGTGAGGTAGATCAGATGAGCGGTTCTCGAGATACGCCAAGAACACACAGACCACCAACTCAGATAGGTGAAGGTAAACATCTCATCAGTCATGTCCCCCCTTCAAACACGCGGCACAGCAACTCAATTATGGATGTGAGGTTTCTGGGAAAAGTAGGGGGGTTGTTATTTCACAGGGTTTAAGACGAGAGCTGAGAAGATACAAGATTTAAAGCCACTGCACTTTATAGTCCAGTGGGAGTAAACATGTGACGACCGCGGTGAGGGGCTTAACCCTTCGGCTGCCTGTCGGCACAGGGGAATCGTTCTTTTGACGGCACTACCGGCTCGCAACCATTCAAGTTTTTGTTTAATATTCTTGCTCACAATACACCGGTCAATAGCTCCGGGCGCCCAAAATGAAGTCACTGTTTTGTCTCAACTACAGTGGAAAAACTTTGAAGCACTCGGTTTACAGTGGTATGGCAACAAAAGCAAAAATAAATCTTTAATTTGAATCAATAATAAGTCTTAAATGGATTATCAGATGTCTTTTATTCGTTCATATCAGCACTTTCTGCCAACATTTCTCTTTCTCGCATTACGACATTAGTTCCTCTCAGACTGCAATGAGATTAAAAGTTTGTCTTTCCGACACATTCAAGCTTTAACATTTCTCATGATCTTTCTTGCCACATGGTCTTGATGAAACCATCTTTAAACTCCTTGGAGAAATGCAACCCTAAAGTATGTGCAGCATGCATGGTCAAGGACAAACCACGGTTGATATTGTTACAGCCGTTCATTTATCTTTAGACACTGATTCACTTTCGCCTTTAAATTCCCCGAGGCTCCACATTCTGCTCCTGACAGGTTTGAGTTAGGATGGTGTCTGTTTTACAGTATGTCTGGCGGATGTTAGTCACGGGGCAGAACACACAACGTGCCGTGAATGTTGCGTGTGGCGAGATATGTGTCGTAATTGGCCAACTTGTCACTGTCCGTCAAATAAAAAATGGTGTCTGCCTGAGTTTGGCAGCAAAATATATGAGTCCGATGTGTTAAAAAATGTAGAAGCAAGACTAAACAAGCACTCGTTCATTCTGCTCTTTTGTATCTATTCCTGACTGCGGTCTTAAGGTTTTTTACATTAGTCAACCGTCCCCCCCGTGAGAAAGTCACCAGAGTGCTGCACATAAAAAGGTTTTCCATCCGAGTGCATCATTAGGTAATAGAGACATTAATCCCAGAAATAACATACCCGGCTAATGTCGGCTCTTAAACACACCATGGAGCAGTCAGAGGCTAACTGTTACTGAGGGATGGAAAGTGCTTTGAGTCAGGTGCCAGATGGGAGCTAATTAGACTGTGTTAGTGGCAGATAGGTGGCCTGTTGGCCTGAACAGCCTCTGCTGGCACATCATCAGTAAAAGGAAGTCTTATAGTGCCGTTCACGGGTGTGCACCGCTGATCTACCGTGGTGCACCTGTAAACTACGGGAGGGGCTCCAGATATCCAGATATGCCCCTTTTAATGCATTCCAGTCAGGCAAAACTAAACGCTTAATGATTGGATTTGATCGCCACTAATTCAGTGGCTAAAACAAAACTTACGTGTGCTATGCACAACATTTTCACACCAATGAATCATCACCGCGTACATTTTGAGACCACCGTGAAGATTGTAGAAGGCCGACAGTATTTTGTTCTTCGATTTTACGTAGCGTGCCACTGGAAAGTAAAAAGAGAAAGCATAAATCTCTTGTAGACGAACACAATGGAGAGGAAGAGGACAAGTGGCAACATCCTGTTTGTGAAAGCAAGCAACAAGGTTACTGAGCCTGACAGAAACACTAAATTAGAAACACTAACTTTTTTGCCAGGGAAAAAGCGACCATTTGTCTCCCGGAGTGAAACTTGCAAAACCAGTTTATTGTATTTTCTCAAGTGGTTGGTTGAGCGTTGTTAAATGATTCCTGTGTGGCTGCTCGTCTGTTTATAGATACTCTCCTTGTGTTCAGGTACGTTGCTAGAGTGTTATTATTTTCGCCAGGAGGATGATGCGATCGGTTGTATTAGTTAGTGAGTGTGTCTGTCCACCGCTAATCTCACATTCTGCTGCAGCAGACTGCCTAATATTTTGGGTTCCCAGTTATTGCTGGATGCCCAAGGACCCTTTTGTGGTTGCGGTGACTCACACTTCCTCAAAAGACCTTTTATTTCCTTGTTTTGTTCTGCCATCGACTGCCCACTGACTCCTCCCTCTCTACTCTTAACCACCCCACTGCTGAGTGCATCGCCGACCCCTAGCTGCTACTCTGCACCCACCGTGGGGGGGTGGTAACAGTTTGCGACTAAAAACGTGCCTCTCAGCCGCTGCTCTGTGCCTCACTTTTATTGTTTTGGATGGTGTGTTTGTTCTTTGTACCATTACAAACAAAGACAGCTGAGTACGTCGCTGCAACTCAGCTGCTGCTAAGCGGGCAGTAAGCTTTGAGAGTTTAATTTTGTTTTTGGCAAGACTGAACGACTTGCCTTATTCGAAAGCTTCCAGCTGAATGTCTGCTTACATCACTACTCGTTTTTGAGTTTGAATGAAGTGTTTTATATTACCTTATGTAATTACCTTATTACTTATAATACCTGGAATCTAGTGGCCCTAGAGAGAAAGTGCCTGGTATTCTATTGTACATTTATAGCATGTTCATTTGTAAGATATGCCGTCTGCATGGTTTATGGTGCAGTTTCCAAAGTTCCCGTATTTATTCTGTGGTTGTTGTTTTTTGTTTTTTTTCTAGGTGTGTCCCCAACAGACAGAATGAGAAACTTAAAGTCTCCGGTCAGGTCTCCAATCCCCAAACTGGGAAGCCCCATCCCTAGCCCCATGTCTGGTCTTCAGAAGCTACCCCAGTGCACACGCTGCTGTAATGGCATTGTGTAAGTATAGTGACATCGCAAAGAATAAGTATGTGATTGTGTCTTATTGGTCAGAGACCACTTCTTTTGGTCTTGAAGTGCTAAGACTCAATATATCCTAAAGGTTTATTTTAGAAATGTTTCAATTAGCTTTTTCTTTCAACACCAAGGTATAGAGTAATCTCTTTAGGGTATTACATATCACAGCATAAAACTTAATGCTTTCAAATTATGGTGCCTGTGATCTACAATTACAGACTACTGAAGATGCAGTAATGAAATACGTAAAAAATATAAATGATTTATTATCAGATTTGCTGTTAAATTATCGCCAACTGGAGATTACATGCCTCTGTCTGGTTTATCGCTCCACTTGTGGTCATAAAGTTTAAAAGTTGAACTTTGTGAGGTGAGTGAAAGTTCTCCACAGACTCTAAAAACAAAGAGGTTAACTTGTGCAGCTCTACCTGCAGCAACAAGAACTCAGGAACACTGATTCCCATTCATCACTTTAATGATTAAACCAAGCTGTCCTCCCTCCACACCCTTTTCCCACGCACATACACACCAGTGCATACATACACAAACACCTTTCTGCCAAAGTAACCAAATGCACCGGTAATCCCCCCCATCTATAAAAGCAGCTGCAGGTGAGCAGTGATGTCATGGGCTTACTCGTTAACAAGAGGGCATTGTGGGAGCGTGTGTGGCACAATCAGGCTGTTATGACCTGAGAGCATTTTACAGCTTTTTAAACAAGTGCAGGGCTCTGTGTCAAGTGTTTATCCTGCGAGGCGTGTGGTTAGATGGGGAAGGTGGTTAAAGAAAGAAGCAGGCTTATGATGGAATGGTCGCTGGCCCGAGTCCCCAGTCCAGAGAGGAAAATCTTATTGGGAACAACGCCCTTCACAAGCGTGTGAAGCAGTAAACTTCTAAATGCACCAGTGTTGATCAGCAGCCAGCCTGCAGAATAAATACTTACTGTTCAGCGATGATCTATGATTAAATATATTCAAATACTTGCAGGGTTATATAGTCGCCATAAAGTATGATAATTCCTGATGAGCAAAGATTATGGAAAGTTAAAGGAACAACAGTCACAAGCAATTCATCATCACTTACTTCCTTTTAAAGTTATGTTTTGTCCTGAAGGCACCGCCCTAAAAACTGCTTCCTTATAAGGTAGAGTGTAAAATACCCGGTGGTAATTGTGAGGTCCTCCCTTCCTGGTGCTCCTGTGTTCACACTGAAGTCTTAAGCATACTCAGTACTTAATATGCAGGATTTCATGCCTGCAAGCCAAGGCAATAAGGCTTTGCAGGAACATAAAAAAATATATATATATGTCGTCAACAATAAGGCCACAAAAAAAACAAGTATGCCCATCTTTCACACTCGCTATTCATATTCTTTGTAAAAGTTTTGCAAATACTGCCTCTCAAGTGTCAATCAAGGGGTTTCGTACACTACTTATAAGGCAGTTTGCGTGTCTTTGCGTCATTTCACAATCACGCATTCCCACATTTTCATCCCTCTAAGCAATGCAACCCCATAGTGTTCTACTGTAAGCGGCCGATCACACTGAGACGCGTCACCACAGACGTGCCTGCTTCAAAAACGCCCCTTCGATGAGCATGTGGAGCGGCAACCAGACTGTAGCAGTTTATTCGCTTCAAAACAGTTGAAGAAAACATTCCCAATATGCATTTCTTTCTTTCAAAAGTTTGCTAAAAAGTGACATTTTAATGGAAACACGGCTAATGACCAAACAAAACTCTTAAAGACAATTCAGGCAGTGTCTAGGATCAAAGTGGGAAAACATATGTAGCATCACCAGACTCACCAAACCAGTCAGATTCATGCATCTCTCTTTGTCTTCACAAGTCTAATGCTCTTCCATCTCCCCCTCCAGCGGCACCATCGTGAAGGCCAGGGACAAGCTCTACCACCCCGAGTGCTTCACGTGCGACGACTGTGGCGTCAACCTTAAGCAGAGAGGCTACTTCTTCATCGAGGACAATCTGTACTGTGAGACCCACGCTATGGCCCGCGTCCAGCCCCCAGAGGGCTACGACGTCGTGGCCGTTTACCCCAACTCCAAGGTGGAGCTGGTCTGAGTCGGAGCTGATTATACTGTAACACAACTATACAAATATGGGAGAACATAGCGAACATTCATCAGGCTCTTGTCGGGCAGGAATGCCGATCTTGGATCAGCCTTTGAGAGAATCCTATGAAATGTGTGTCGATGATCCGAGATCAGCATTGCTGCACTGACAGTCTTGATAAATGCTACGTGTATTGATGCATATTGTAATATATTGACAGAATCTGGATCTGATGAGTTTCCCACAAGCGCATTATTACCAGAATATTCATTATTCAAAACAGGAAATGCAGGGATGGCAAACGTCTGCAGATAATATAATGAGATGTTTATGTAGTTACTCCAGCTATCTGCTTTTATAACAACCAGCACGAGTTCTCTACCAGCATAATACTCCATAGAACTCCAGACAAAGTGCCACTTTCAAGACGTGCAAAAGTATCTTAGATTGACAAACATCACGTGTGTGATTCACGGCACAATTCAAACGGGATAAAAAAATAATCGCCATTGACTACCGCCAATTCTTTCTATAATAAGGTCCGTTGG